GCTCTTTTAACTCCTTGTCTCTCTGCGCTCCTCCTGGGATGGGCACTTCCACTCACCTTACCCTCGGCTGCCCAGGCTACCACGGAGTCCCCGTGTCCCCCTGCAGCGGGATTTATGGTCTTACACTTGATCGATTTCCCCGCTGGTTTGGGTCACATTGTCCTGCTTTCCTTCAGTTCTGTCCCCTCGATTTCCTTCAGCAACTTGAGCATGTTTCAGACGGCGTTGTCCAGCGGGTCCTGTGACTTGAGCTTTCTCGGGGTGGTTCCCGTTCATGCCATCTTCCTCTCTCCCTCCCTGTGAATAGGCCAGCCTTTCTTGTCTCCTTGCATGTTCTATCCTTTTTGTTGGGAACGGAGCGTTTTGTACATTTAGCACATTGCAATGCGGGGGCTGGAAGCGAGATCTCCCACCTCATCAGTGCTTACCGAGGCTGCTCTTTGAGGGCTTAGGCATCTTATTGCCCACTGATTTTTAACAGCTATTTTTGCAAAGATGCCATTCTTTGTCACGTAAGGGCGCTAAAGTTTCTGATGTGTTATGTCTGTGGCCAGCCAGTACTGACAGAATTCCAGCCTCTTTCTTCATCAGATGCTCCCTGAGAGCTTCAGGTGCCCAGCCAGGATCCCGAGGGACCACCCCGTTGATTCTAGCAGGTTTGTCCTTTCAGAACTCTGAAACCGCGGGGTGTTATCCAGCCTTAGCGGGTTCTGACCTGACCCGGACAGCAGCGTCTTGAGTACATTGTATCAGTGAGTAACCAGCGGGACAGGCCAAGGCGGCGAGGTCTCTGCGCAGCCCCACAGGTGGTTGCGGGAGCTCAGAGGAGGCGGTACACTGTTCAGCGGGCAGAGCTTGTGGGTTTGGGAAAGGGAGGTTCTGGAGATGGTGGTGACGCGTCCACAGCAGTGCGGACATGCTCAATACCACGCTGCTCACTTGAGATCGGTGATCACGGCTGGGGCCGGCAGGCAGTGCGGTGGTTAAGGACACTGGACTCCCACATGGCTGATGCGGTTTGAGTCCCAGACCTGGCAACCTGCAGCTTGCTGTCTCAACCCCTCCCCTCACTCCGTCCTTCACTGGTCAAATTTAAATAAATAAATAAAGTTAAATAATAAAATAACTCTTAAAAAAAGAAAATGATGTAATGGTGAACTCCATGTTACCAGTATCTCAGCCACGCTTCAAAAGGATGACGAAATGGTCATTTCTTTGGCTGTGTATATTTTGCCACAGTTTTAAAAAAATCACATATATGTGTATATGTATATATATGTTCATATGCACATAAGTATGTCTGTTACCGCCCTTGGCCTCTCGGCATCGTCTGCATTGCTGGGCACTGCCTATGTCCCAAGGTAGTTTCTTCTTAGTTTCTGTGTAGGTTTGTCTCTTAAAGTTCTTAGTAATGTTTTTTAAGTTTATTTTGTTCATGATAAAGAATGTGCATGCATGAGTGTGCATAAAAGAGAGAAAAAGCACCTTCAAAAGGTTCTCTTCCTCCATGACCCCCCCCTTCTCCAGCCCTGCAGCTGTTCAGAAGTTTGGGCAGACCTGTGCACCAGGCATGTTTTCAGGCCAACCCAGGGGTTCGAACCCACGGTCAGCCATGTGGCTTCCAGCACTACAGTTCACTCTGCCGGCTGTTATACCTCTGGCTCAGCAATTATATTTTGAACTCTTTTAAAACTGTGCAATATAGTTCATTTACACACCATTTGAATGATTTTATGGTAGTATTGTCATTTCTATCTGAAAAATAAATATTTCCTCTTTCTCTGTAGCTTAACTCCCCCTTGGGATGCCCTACGACAATAGTTACTAAAACTTGCTGAAATATCGTTAAGAACTTGAAATATATTCTAAATAAATGGAATACTCTGTATTTCTTTCTATCCTACATGTACAGTTTTAAGGAAAAAATCAATTTGCTACAGTTGGGAGAGAGATTTATGATAGAGAATATCAAATAATGTTTTGTAAAGGTAGGAAAAATGTTTTTTAAGCATTAACAAATTTAAGACCTTATTACTCTCCTTTGTTGCTAGAGAGAATGTAAACTAACTGTATGCTGGAATGCGATCGTGTCTTCTGAAATTAAATACATACTTGCCGTTTGATCTAGCAATCCCGTTTCTACGAAATACCCCAGTCATACCAGCAATACCATGCTTATAAAAAGATGCACGAACAAGGCTTCCAACGGCAATACTATTTGTAATAATTACCAAAAGACCGAAAATAACCCAAGTTCTTCATCAGTAGAGACCTGGTGGGTAAGTGGTGCGTCTACACAGTGCAGTGCTGGGGCTTCACGAGGGCGGTTTTTACAGCTCCTGCTGTCACTGAGGGATGGTGCACTGTGCTACTGCGAGTTCGCTTCTCCTAAGAACTAGGTAACGGTAAAATACAAAATCACAGAGTAAGCGCTTACCTTTTAATAAAGAAGAGGACCGAGGAAAAGAGGAAAATGACTGGTTTTATTCGAAACTTATATGGACTTCAGAATGATTTCGTATTAATGCCAAGTGTGAGAGTCCATTTTAGAAACAGTCCCTAATATGAAATGGAACGTAGGACACCACAGCTAGGAATGTAAGAGAGAAGTGTACAGCGTACGTTGTGGCCTGCGTCCATGCTTCAGTGGATGTAGGGGCACTGTTATTTTGAAACTGCCCTGTGGGTGTTGGGGAATTAAACCCAGTAGATAGTTACTCTGAGGAACCACATCCCGCCAGACATGTGCGTTGTCGGCCCTTCGCACGACTTCAGGTTTCCTGCAACTTGCAGTTTCAAAAGAGCATGAAGACAGTGAGGGCCCGCCCGTGTAGACCCCGGGGCACTAGGCAGTGTGGCCAGTGCCGCCAGGGTGCACGTGCATTTCAGAGCCTTGACCAAGCTTACCTGACAGCCGGCAGTAACCAAGATGGCAGTTAGACGCGCTGTCTTGGAGATCTTTTTTTTTTTTTTTAATTATTTAATTTTTTGAGGGGGGAGGTTTTTGCTATACGGTGTGTGCACTCACCAGAAAGACGGAAAAAGAGAGACAAAAAGTGAGAAATCACCCCCCGGGGGGATGGCCACGCCGCAATCCCTTCTCCATTCTCCTCTCAGGATCTTGGGCATGCACGCACACGCGCCCGGCGTGAGTTTTAAGCCACCAGGTCCGGGACGCGAACCGCGGTCGACTACGTGGGAGTCCAGCGACATAGCCATTACACTAACTGAAAGCTTTTTAAAAGCCATGCCATTTTCCCTCTGCCTCTGCAGGCAGGTAACCTGTTCCCTGTCTGTTCTGATTCCAGGTAACCTTCTTCATGCTGCTGTCCGCGGTGTGCGTGATGCTGAACCTGGCGGGGTCCATCCTCTCCTGTCAGAACGCCGAGCTCGTCAGCTCCCTGGAAGGCTGCCAGCTGGTGAGTGACGCAACGCAGACCTTTCGCGAGGGTCTCCGCTCGGGTTTTGCATGAGAGCCATTTAAAAAGTGATGTAGTGTCTTGGGCATTCACGCACACGCGCCCGGCGTGAGTTTTAAGCCACCAGGTCCGGGACGCGAACCGCGGTCGACTACGTGGGAGTCCAGCGACATAGCCATTACACTAACTGAAAGCTTTTTAAAAGCCATGCCATTTTCCCTCTGCCTCTGCAGGCAGGTAACCTGTTCCCTGTCTGTTCTGATTCCAGGTAACCTTCTTCATGCTGCTGTCCGCGGTGTGCGTGATGCTGAACCTGGCGGGGTCCATCCTCTCCTGTCAGAACGCCGAGCTCGTCAGCTCCCTGGAAGGCTGCCAGCTGGTGAGTGACGCAACGCAGACCTTTCGCGAGGGTCTCCGCTCGGGTTTTGCATGAGAGCCATTTAAAAAGTGATGTCCTGGTCTGAGGTTTCATGTAAATTTTCAGCCAGTTCCCATTTTCCAGAGTTGGCTAAGGAAGGGAACAGATTAAATTGATTTGTTTCTATACATTCACCCAATTAAACCTTGTTCTACTTCATTGTTAACTTATTCTAAATCGTCAGTTGTGGTGTATTTTAAGGATCACAGTGTAGTGTTATTTTAGGTGCGTGTCTGTTACTGTATTGTACCATTTGTTACATTGATTCTTCTTTGCATTGAATTTTAAGAACCATTTTGGAAGTCAGTTTTAAGGGTCAGAATATGTGTAAGCTGGGCAGTGAGTCCAACAACGCAACCTCGTCACTGTTCAATTAGAATACTTTTCTCTTGGAGTTGGAGGCCGTAGACAGCGGGCCGTGTCTGTGTAGATTGGTACGTGGCCCGAGGGCGGATGTGTCATTTCCCGGTGACAGCCTGTGGCCCTGCGTAGCGTGTCTGGCTGGGCAGAAACTTGAGGCCTGTGTGACTCTGTCCCGAGCGGCAGGCTCGGGGGCGGCACTCGCTCTTCTCCTTAGACTGGCAGTGATTCCTCCGGGGTTGGGCAGTGAGGCCCCTGAATGAAGTGGTTCTTCAGGAAGCTCGGGGCAAGGAGGCAGCAGGGCTGCTGACGGCCAGGACGCCCTCTCCCGTGCACCGAGCAGCTGCAGGTGCTCACTGCTGACGCCCACTTGTCTGTTTGTGGGCTTTTACCCACTCTGTGCCTGTCTATTCTGATAACAGCAGTTCAATTACACGGATTCTATATTCAGACTGTTTTGGGGGGAGAGGTTTTTGCTATAGGGCACATGCGCTCGCCAGAGAGAGAGAGACAGAGAGATAGAAAGTGAGAACTCACCCTCCGGGGGGATGGCCATGCCTCAGTCCCTTCTCCTCTATTCTTCTTGCGGGATCTTGGGTACGCATGCACGCGCCCGGCGTGAGTTTAAGCCACCGGGTCCGGGACATGAACTGCGTTCGACTGGCTACTGGGAGTTCAGCGACATAGCCATTACGCCAAGTGCTGGTCCCAGACTTTTTTTCTTAATAGAGATTTTTTGCTATAGGGTGTGTGCACTGCCAGAGAGACAGAAAGCGAGAAATCACCCCTCAGGGGGATGGCCACACCGCAGGCCTTCCTCTAGTCTCCTTTTGGGGTTTTGGGCACATATTTACAAGTGCCCTGTGTGAGCTTCAAGCTGCTGAGTCTGGGAGCGAGCAGCAGTTGGCCGTGTGGGAGTCCAGCAACGTGACCATGGCACCATCTGCCGGTCCCCATCCCAGGCTTTTAATCTACTTCTTAAAAATGCCCTTACCTCTTCGTAAATGTTTTGTGTGCTATTAACAGATGAGCTTTGGATTTTTGTTTTTGTCAGGATTAAAATGAAATGGATTTGAGATCTGAATTGCGATCGCACTTGACTTATAGATGACCTCGAAGGAAGCGCTGACTTCTGAGCAGTGGCTTCTAGGACGCGGTGTGTGCTCCGGCTAATCCCAAGTCACCCTTCCGTACTCTGCTGTTCTCTCTGATAAAGTCGAGTACTTTGCCACGCGTGTACGTCAGTGTCTGTATTTCCTCTGAACAAACTGGGTTTATTTTCACGTAAGAAGCACGCATAAACAAGAGTAAGCCTTCCACCGTGGACTCCTAGCACCCTGTTCCAGAAGTAAGCGCTGCCACCCAGTTAGGGAGCAGAGCGGGATCTGAGCGTACTTTTGCCTTCGTGTTATCGCCACAGGCCTGAGGTCTGCTCTGCACACTGCCCTGGCCCGGTGTGTGTCTGGGCCATCGGCACAGTCAGCACGGGGCAGTCTTCTCGGAGAGCTGATCGCCGCAGGGGACGTTCTGAGCGGGCTCGTCACCAGAGGGCCTGATCGCGGCAGGGGACGTCCTGAGTGCATGTCACCGGAGGGCCTGATCTGATTACTGGTGTGGGGAGATGAAGTCACTCCTGTCACCGTACGGCTGCTCATTCCCCACCAGCTCACAGCAGCGAGGGCCAGCCCCTGGCACTGTGGGCTGGCCTGTCCACAAGCACGAGTGCGCATGGCTGACCACAGTTCGAATCCTGGCCCTAGCAGCTTGAGAAACTTGCTGGGTATGTGTGCGCACACCCAGGACCTCCCTGGAAGGGGAAATGGAGGAAGAAGGAGTGGGGCGTGACCGTGCCCCGTTGGAGGTCCAGTCTCTGTCTCTGTCTCTCATGGCAAGTGCATGTGCTCTCGGAAATTGAGAAGAGAGCTGAGGCCAGCAGGTAACATGGAGGTTAAGGACTGGATCCCATATGGCCAGCTGAGCGGTTCGAGTCCTGGACCCAGTGAGAGGAAAGCCCAGGCAGGCGTGTGTGTGCGCTTATGCCTAAAACCCCAAGAGGAGGCTCAGTCATTGCGTGGGCCTCCATCCGGCTATCTCTGTGGGGTTCCCTGCACCGTGAGGAGCAGCTCCCTCTGCCGGTCATGGCCCGAACGCTCCTGGCCTCCCACACTGTGCGGATCTCCCACGCCACAGGGAAATTTGGCCCTGGCCACTCTTCGTGCCGGGGGTGTCCTCCGTGGGGTGGTTCCGTCTCATTCTCATGGATCGCCGTGATGACGTGCAGAGAAATCCCACGGAAGAGCAGTGGTTTGTGTTGGTCCTAACCCTCAGCTTTCTAGCAAAGCGTGGGTGGGAGTGACGTGGGATGCAAAGCCAGTGGTGTCCTCGTGAACGCGTCCTGCCCTCGGTGGCCCCCTTCCCTCCTGGACACCCGGCAGTCCCTCTGTGCAGACGGAGAGCCCAGCAGGATCTCGGCGCTGGGACTTTGCACTTGGTCCTGGCTCCACCCCCCACCCCCCCCCACGGCTCACGGCCTGGGGGAGACAGTCCAGGTGACCAGAGAGCCACAGGAAGGAGGCAGGGAGGTGGCCAGCGTGCCTGAGTCCGTGCGCGGAATGGCCCTGAGCCCAGCTCGATGAGCGTGGAGAGGGAGGCCTGAGCCAGGATCTTCCGAGTAGAGGGGCACAGGCTGGTGATGCCCAAAGCCTGCAGCTCCTGCCCTTGCTGTGTCCCCTGGTCCCTGTGGGCTTCTCACTCGGGCCTTGGGCCCCGACACTTCCTTCCACTCGCCCCGACACCTGCCAGGGGTGAGCTGGGTGGGTGCTGGGCTCTGCAGGGCGTTCGCCGAGTGCCTTGCCTCTCCGACCCCAGCCTTTGTCATGGGTGTCTGTTGGTCCCGCACACAGACCCGCGTCAGCTGTGGGAGGGCGCGGGTCACTGCCTGCCTCCTTGGCTGCTGCCTGGACCATGACAGGAGCCCGCAGATGAGTGTTCATGCATTGCAGCAAGGGGCTCAGCTGTACAGGGACTCCTGCAGCTGTGGAAGGTGGACTTAGAGGGTGAGTTCATTTGGGGGCAAGAAAAGGGAAATCTATGTGTAGTTTTTCATGCTTTGCATTTTCCATGGACTTCTGAGGCCCTCGGCATGGCTCCATGTTCCTCAGGAGACCCCAAGTTAATGGCCACAAATGCTCACTCCACTACAGCCTGATTAGTGTCCATCTGCTTATCCTGGAGTCACCATAGCCGCCACTGTGTGGCTGGGGCACTTTGCACTGATGGGGACAGCCAGCCGGAGCTGCCTACAGGACCAGCCCTCGGAGACACCTCAGAGACATCAGGGATGCCCAGAGGAGGGCACTGGTGCCCAACTGGGGGTCCAGCCTCCCTCCAGATGCTCAGCGAGCTCTGTGCAGAGGGCACAAGCAAGAGGGACGGTGCCAGTGGCTCGGGGGACACTGCAGATGTCCATCGGTGAGGGGTGATCTGAGAATATGTAAAGGACTGTTGTGGCCGAGGGGCCAGCACAGTGCAGCAGTCCACCACGACTCTGCAGGCAGTGCCAATGGATGGCTCCCGGTTCGAGTCCGGAGGCTTAACCAGCTGC